TGCCAGCACTAGCCTGCTGGAGGATGGGGAAAGTGGAACAGGGCCAAGCTGCCCTAAGGCTCCTTCTAAGGTTGCCTCTGTCAGCTGACAGTCAACTGGGCTGCAGGAAACCCAGCTCAGATTAGCAAAGCCACATTTCAGATCCGCTGTTGCCCAGATACGTGAGAATTAATGTTTCTCATGGTACGGCACTGAGGTTTTGTGGCTATATTTTGGCAACAAACAACTAACGTCTGTCACTTAAAACAGTGTGTGTTTTCAACACATCAATATGACATGCCTCTTCCCTGTGATTAATTGGAATGATAGTCTACATGAATACGCTTTTCCAGCAAAGCTTGAAGTCCCTTTAAAATCTGTGCTATAGATGGATATTTCTTAGAAATAGTGAAACATTGTGGGTGGGACTTTTGATAATGATCCCTCCCCATACACACGCACTACTCATCACTGGGGATTAATGCGCATTTAAGATGGAGTAAGGCCGGCCTGTGGCATGCTGGTTGAGGTATCTGGATCCTACTTGGTCAACTATGTGGTTCAAATACGGTATTGGGTGGTTTGAGAAACACATCAGGTGTGGTTATATACATGCCCAAAATTCTGATAGGAGAAGTGGAGGAGAAGGGATTGCAGTGTGACCATGCCCCAGGAGAGGTGCTTTCTTGCTTTCTTGATTTCCTCCTCTCTCTCTTGGTTTCTCTCCTCTGGTACGTGTGCATGTCCTCTGGCAGGAAAAATAGAGGGAGGGTCTTAGTGCTAACAGGCACCTGATATTTCTTTTGGAGACTCGTCCCTTCTTCATTCTTGGTGTTACGTGTCAATTAAGTTTGACTGCTGCTTCTTGCAGTCAATGAAAGGTGGAGGCAGAGGCTAGAGAAAGGAGTTTATTTCTGTAACCATTATATGGAGACTAAAAATGCCATCAAACCGTCTCAAAAAGCTCAACATGTATTTACAGGTACAAGATAAAAGCAGGTGCAAACCATCCTCCCTCTACTAGAGTCATTCCCGTTCTCCTGAGTAATTATCCTGCCTCCTTCAGATACCCATTCCTGGATACTTCCCTGCCCATTCCTCAAACAGATCTCCCTTAGACTTGGGACATGGTCAAATTGTTCTTATTAAAGGTGTTTTTAATTTCAAAATGGATTCAGTCCTCTTGGACCATTTCACTGGTGAGAATTACAGCGTCTTTGCCACCTTCTAACTACTAGGAGGAGTGGATAGGAGACCTGGTATGGCCAAATGAAATATTGCACACTCCTGGGAGTACTCTGAGTCTTTGGTGAGATTGTGTTTGTTATGTAGAAAGAGAGATCTGGACACCAGCCAGGAGGATGTAGGCTTAGAACTGTCAGCACCCCTGATTCCTGCCACAAGGAGGAAGTCCGCCTGAGAAGTAATATCCGTAGATGGAGAGACAAGTCTTTGAGAATATTACGTAAGCCCCTATGTGCATTTCATTTTGGAGATCCTATTATTTGGGCCAATAAACTCTTTTTTTTTTTTTTAATTTACTTGATTTGGGTGTCACTTACAATAGAACACATTCTATATTATTAATGAGTGTTATCTCCATTTTCTAGAAGAGAAAACTTACCTTAAAATGTTTCTTCTTCAGTCTCACAGGTAATAACAGGTAGAATATTATCACAGGCGTGTCCAATGCCTATGATCTTTCCATATTGCATTTTTAAAAAAGATGTTTTAAATGCACATCAGGAAAACTCACCTCTCTCATGCACCATTTTATGAGATTTGACAAAAGTGCACATCTAAGTCCCTGCCACCAGTTCTATGGCCCCCAAGCATTCCCAAATGCCACTTCTCCTGTGCAGTCTCTGACTACAAGAACCTATTCTCTCCTTGGAGTTCTGCCTTTTCCAGAATGGCATATAAATAGAATTTGGATCTGGCTCATCTTCACTTAGCATAATGAATGTAGGATTCATCCATATTGTTGCATATTATCAACATAAACACTTGCTGAATACATGCTTAGAGCAGCACTTTAATCATTATCCACATTAGTGAACACAGCACACACAGATTTTTAAAGAGGACAGGAGAACTACAGCAGGTTAAAACAAACAAAATCTATGTCCACTGCAAACCTGTGAGTGTGACCTTATTTAAGGAGAGAGTTTTTTAGATGTAATCGAGTTAAGAGCAAGCCATGCTGGGTTAGGGAGAGCCCTAGTCCAATGACTGACTTCCTCATGGGAAGACTGAAATTTGGACCCAAAGGTACACAGAGAGAATGTCATGTGACAGGAAGCAGAGACTGAATGGATGCAGCTGCGAGGCAAGGAACATCAAGGACCACCCGCAGCCAGAAGAGCTAGGAGAAAGGCAGAGTCCCCAGCGGAGCTCCAGGAGGCAAGTTGCCATGTTGATGTCCTACTTTCAGCTTCCAAAACTGTGAGGGAATATCTTTCTACTACTCTAAACCCTTCGGTATGTGGTCATTTTTCATAAAGTTCTAGGAAATTAATATAAGCAAATATTAACTGTCTTTTATTCCTGTGTAAAGACTGCCGCACCTCCGCAAAAAAAGTGGAAGCACTCTGCCTCTCCAAACTCATCGTTCCCCGTAGAAACAAATGCAGCCATCATGATACTCGGGATGAAATCTGGGATTTCTGAGGTTTCAAATGGATGGTAAGAAAAGCAGAAGATAATATCAGAGTAGAATAAGAAATTAAGAAAACTTGATAGGGTATGTTCACTTTACCTGTTTATTGAAAAACTAACTGAAATGCATCGCTGATTCTGAAAATCACTTACTGTAAAAATGACAAAGAAAACTTGGGAAAAGCAGGCAGCATAGTGGCTAACGTGCTGGATGGCCCCATGGCCAACCACAGTTTGAGTCCTGGACCCAGCAACTTGAAAGTCTCGCCAGACACGTGTTTATGTGTGTGAGCCCAGAATCCAGAGAGGAGAATAGAGGAGGAGGGACTGTGGCGAGGTCATCTCCCTTGGGAGGTGATTTCTCAGTTTCCCTCTGTGTCTCTGGTGAGTGCACAGGCCCTATGGCAAACACCTAAAGATTACTCAATTAATCAATTAATTTAGAGTAAGTTGTAGGATCTGGTTTTAATATTTAAAATCTTTTAACTCATTTGGTAACATGATTTGGTAGTGGGAGTTATGTCCAAACGTTTCAGTGACACTCTACTTTTTTTTTTTTCAAGAAACCAATGTCATGAGCAATAGAAGTCATTCAAAAATATGCGGGACCCAAAACAGAGAGCACAGTACGAGAGACTGCATTTGTTCATTTAACTTCTATTAAACCTCACAACTAGTTATTAAATTTAAATTTAACATGCCATTCAGGGAAGCAGGTGAGCCTGAATAAGGGCACAGGAGAGATGACACTCAAGGTCCCCCCACTTCACAGCTTGATGTGGGAGAGCCATACTGAATTTTAACACCAAATTAGTAATGGCACTATAGATATTGATCTGTCTCATCGCAGCTATCAAAATGATTTCTAGTAACTAAAAAGTAAAGCCCGTGTTTAAAATATGATAAACCATGTGGCAACATAATCCTAGCTCCCATAAAGTAATTTTAAACTCCACTCAAGCAAAAATATGATGTGTCTATTCTGAAAAAGCAAATGCTAACGTCAGACTGGCAGGGAGCACTGCTCATCAATCTTTTATGCTAGCAACCTCCAAAAGATTATAGACTCAGAAAATTAGGTATTAACAATTTAATTAATTTTTCAAGTAACATGAAGAAAACAAGTAAAGAAAATTTGCATTCATTTAGAGAAGAAAACTGGAGGTGCTTTTTAGTCTGCTTAGATTTTAGATTAAACAAATTAGGAGATAGTTTTGTCTCATAAAAAGCGTAAAAAAAATTTTTAAAAAATTTAAGAATCACCATCAGCAAATCAGCATTTTGGGTAAGTCAACATAACATAACTTTTTCTTAAGAGATATTTAAATTGTATTTATATATGAAGTTGAGATACGTTGTTGATTCAGTTAAAAATATCAGTTCATCTTGCTCAAAATAATCATAAACATCTAATTCTCAAAATGGACTCCCCTATCAGAGGCTCTCCCAAGAAGTATCTTCCTGTGTCTTATTCCCCAGATTCTGATTTGGTAAATCTGGACTAGCACCCAGAGTACCCAGTTTCTTTTTTTTTTTTTAATTTCCAGGTGATCCTGATTGGACCAACTAGGTTTAAGAACCACTAACACAGAACATGCTCTCACAGAAAGCAGCTTTGATCTCCCAGAACAGGGAGAATTTGAGCTGGGGTCAGTTGAAGGCTAAATACCAAAAGCAAAATATTAGAATAGAAGTAATGTAATAGTTAGAGTGGAAAACAGAGGCAGGGTCTAAAAAAGAAAATAAAAACCCAGAGTCAAGCAAGCTTTGTGAAACAGGAAGGGAGGTCAGAATGACAACGCAAAATCACAATCAGAACACGAGGAAAAAATAGCGAAGTAGAGCACAGGAAGCCCTCGGCTTCAGCATTCTAGGCCCAGTCTGGCTCAAGACTCAGAGAAGACTTTACCTGTAGCAGATTCCTGCCTGAGGATTCATGCTTTTATGCAAACACCTCCTTTAAGTCTCAGCTCATTCAGAGTGAAAGTCTCCTATTTTCTTAGCATCTAGCAGCTGTTGCAGCTTTAGACTGCGGTATTTGTTGACATCATGAGCTGAAAGATCTGCCAGGTGGGGGCGTGGTGGTGCCCAACACAAGGCATTTTTGGAGGCTGGAGGACTGCGTGTGGATTGCGGCATGGAGACCAGCTTCTTCTCTCTCTCCTCTTTCTCTTATCTACCAGGTGATCTTGTTTCAATGTAGTAATGCCTCTGTGTGTGTGTGTGGGTGAGTGTGTGTGTTTCTCTGTGTGTACTTTGTGTAGAAACCTTCAAACATTGGATTGTTGCTGAACCAGTAATATTTATTTCATGCTGTTGAAGTTATAATGAAAACCTTCTAAAAATAAATGTAAACTTTAGGTAAATTAAAGGAGAGTTGTTATTTCTTGGGTAACAGTAAGACATTTATTTCTTTATCATTTGTTTTCATTCATAAAAAGGACAAAGCACAGTCCTATACTACTCCATTGAAAAAATGATAAAAAATAACTAAAAAAATCAATTCAATATTTATCAGTATCAAATAAAACTACTATCACCTTTTCTGAAATACAAAGAAACGACGGATGTGTCTCTATCTATATAAAGTTTAATTAAGAATCTTGCGTCTTAAAGCAGATGATACATTAGTTTGACAGCAGTTTAAAACTGATGGTCCCGGTCAAATTCTTACAGCTGTATGAGGAAAGGAAAAACTTGCGTTATCACTGTATGAGAGATTTTAATCTACTTCACCTCTGTCACAAATTTAAAACTAAACAACCTCCAAAGTCTGTTTTCTTCTTACCTTTCAGAACCATTTCATGCAAAATCTAGCCAGTTTTGCTCTTTATTATCGTATATGAGAAAATAAAAGGCAAGCATGCATTTGGCAAAAGATTTAGTTGTCATTGATTATATAAAAATGCCCAACATGGGTCACATTGCAAAAGGAAAACCCCAAAGTGTAACAATGAAAACACAACATTTGTACAGAAGGCTTACAGAGTATTTGATTCCCTAAAGTACGAAGACATTATTGTTTCTTTTCCAAATAATTAAGTATTTTATGAAATCTGATAATGACCTGAAGACTGTTGACATACTTCCATGGGAAATCATCCATTTCACTTAGTTTAAAAAGTTTCATTTTATAACAAAGAGTTAAATGTAAACTAATGAAATATTTATTGATATTTCCTTCATGAAGGCTCTAAACATTTACACATAGATATATAGTACAAAAATTATACAAATGAAAGAAAAGGGGGATAAAGTAGTAATAGATTTATTTTGCTTCTTGCAAATATTTTTTTATGAACCTATAAGGTATCCTTTCTAAAAAGATAAACTCTATCTCTAATTAGCTAGCAAGGTTGTGCTAATAAAATAGGATTATACCTCTTGAAGTTTCAGACATTGCACTATTTCACGAGCCAGCTAATTCTTTATTACTCGATTTCTTTCACATCCACACTCAATCACTTTCCCGTGCACACATGGAGAATGAAGAAATGTGCATCTTCCTTGTCACAACTTACAAAAGCCCAAAGCACCAACCACTGGCAGACACCATCAGACAGATACACTGTCTCCCCCTGGCCTTCCAGTTTTGCATACTCTTCAAAGTACCATCAGCAATATATTGATTTGGTATTTTTAGCCAGTTTTCAGTATTGCATTGAAGTGGAAAATGAACTTAAAACTAAAAAAAAAAAATTTAAAAAAGGAATATCGTAGCTTTTCCAACCTACAGGTAATTTTTTTTTGATCCCACCTCTCCAATAAAGAAGGTTATACTTAGAAATGTAGCACAAAACAAAGATACTAGATTATTTTTAGGTAATTTTCATATTTACTTAGCTGTCCTAGCTGTGTAAAGACTGTCACACTTCAACAACAACAACAAAAATGGAAGCACTCTATTTCTCAAAACTCATCATTCCACATATGAACAAATACAGCAATATCATGAGACTCTAGCTAAGAGCTGTGATTTCTGAGGTTTCAAAGTGATGATAAGAAATGCAGAAGATAACTTCAGAGTAGAATATAAAAGTAAAAAAAAAAAGATTCATGTTATGTTAACTTTACCCATTTAAAAACTAACTGAAAAGTATCACTGATTCTGAACATCAAATACTTAGAAAATTACTGACTTCAAAAATAAGAATACTGATAGTAAGTTCTACAATTTGGTTTTCAATATTCAACATCTTTCAACTCAGTAAAATGATTTGGTTATGGGGTTTATGTCAAAATGTTTTTGTTATACTCTATTTTACTTTTCATGAAAACTCAAAATGTTATGAATGATAGGGGCCATTCGAAATATGCAGGACCCAAAACAGAAAGAATAGTACAAGAAACTATTACTCTTACATTTACCACATATGACCGACATTTCAACCTCTATTATACTTCACAACTTGTTATTAGATTTAAAGCACCTGTTTATGGTGATTTTACTCTCACTCTACAGCCTATAGTATGGAGTTGAACACTGTAACTTGTCCCATTGGAATAAATCATGCAACTGTCACAGAATCAGGTTAAGTGGTTTATAAGGCATATTGGAACGAGTTAAAAATCATTTCATAGCCATTTAAAAGTTTTTTCTTTTGGATGAAGGGGTTCCTGAATGCCTCAGTCATAACATGGGTTGTAAATCTGCTGGATAGTTTGTTAAAGTATATTTTATTTGGCTTAGGATGGAGCCGCAGGAGTTGGAAGGAACGGTAGTCATCCCAGGGATGAAGGGTGTTCTCTGAGCTGGGCCGGGAACAGTAGTTGTCACACCACATTCAGAATTCCAAGTAGACGAGGATGCCAAGGGCGGGCAGCAGTAAGCCGAGAAGACTTGGAGACAGGGCGGGTGCACCTACAAAGTAAACCAAAAGTGTGCTTATTTGTCCTTTAACTCAGCCACTGTTGCTCCTTTAGTCTGTTTCAGGGAAGAGAAGATGGCATAGCTTTGAAAATCAAAAGGTTCCTTTTACAAAACAAAGTCTGTTATGCTTAGGTGATGTAAGAAAGAAAAACTGAGAAAGTGTTTCATGAAGAATTCACATGTGAGACCATGTGGATTGTTTATAAAACATGTTTAAATTAATCACGCAGAATAGTAAGACCTTTGGGACCAGCATATGGTCTAATGGTTATGTCAATGTACTCCCACATAGTTAACCATGGTTCAAGTCCCTCACCCAGAGGCTTAAAATTCCCACCAGGCACTTATGCATGTGTGCCCAAAATCCCAAGAAGAGAATGAAGGAGAAGGCTATTCCCCCTGGGAGGGTGATTTCTCACTTTCTGTCTGTTTCGCTCTCTCTGTTGAGTGCATTTGCCTATAGCAAAAATCTCAAAATTAATCATCATCATCATCATAATAATAAGGTGGCAAAGGATTCTGTTGTCCCTATAAACCAGCAGACCCAAATTCCTACCAGAAGGCAAAAGGTTAATAAACATATGCAAGGAATATTCAAAAGGTTCATGAAAAATACTTATTATGAAAATACTGTATGGATTTCAAAATATTTTCTCCCAACCTAATGTACTTAATTCCACTTGTCCATGGAATTTTCAGTCTTATTTTATAGGCCCAGTATGGTGGCACAGGTGGTAGGCACCAGGCACCACTATAGGGAAGTCCAAGATTTGGATCCCAAATTGACTTAAACTGTCCAGGCACCCATGATCCTGGTTGACTGGATGTCTGGGGAGATAACTATGGCATAGCCAAGACCTGTCAGAAGTTTCTGTCTTTCTCATGGAAATGATAAACAAGTAAACTTAACAGTAGAAACATATAAACAAATAAAAACCATCTATACGCTCTTAAAACACAAGAGCAGTAAAAAGAGTAATGTCACCTGGGATAATGACATCATAGGTATACTGGATTGATCTTGCATAATTTTATCTTACAATGACATTTAAGATATTTAGGAGTTTATACACATGCATTTCTGGTAATAGTAGATAATCTTCGTCAATTTTTATATAAAGAACAATTGTCCTGAGATAGTATACTATGAATTAATAATAAAAAGGACGTAATATGCCATGGATTTATATCACATCTTGGTGCAACTCAGAAGTGCTGTTCCTGTGGTCAAGTAAGTTTGTAAGCACATGTCCTGCCCACATTAGAATTCTAGAGCAAGGGTTGTAAAGTGGGACCAAGAAGGAATACCCTTCTTTTCCATTCTCCACACTGATAGGGCACATCCTTCAATAAAAGTTCAGAATGAGTGAAAGGCTAAACAGTAGAGTCAATAGCTTGCAAGTATGCAAGATGTTTGTCATTTTTTCGAAGTTTATTCTCTACACTGGAAATTTTAAATCATTATCCATCACATTAAAAATGACCAGAAGCAGTCCATTCTTTGAAACAGTCGTCTTATATTCAAGATTTAGGGCATTTCCCCTGAATCTAGTCATTGAAAGCACATTCATGCTGCTGATAAGATGGAAGGTAATTGTGTCTATCCTCATCCTGTGTCCACGATTGCCCTACTGGCCACACTTGACAGAAGAGAGAAAGCATCATCAGATACAAATAAAGTGGTTCTTAGAAATGAGCAGGACATGGGGCTGGCAGCTGGTGTGGGAGTTGAGGCTCTGAACTCCCACATGGCTAATTGCAATTCAGGTCCCAAACCTGGCAGCTTGTTTTCTCACTGTGTGTGTGTGTGTGTGTGTGTGTGTGTGTGTTCAAACTGAAGAACAATAATAAGTAAATAAAATTAAATAAATAATTCTAAAGAAAAAAGTTAAACACACACACATACACACAGTAAGGGACCAGCAGTTGGTGTAATGGCTGTGTCGCTGGACTCCCATGTAGTCAACCGCGATTCGAGTCCTGGACCCAGTGGCCTAAACTCATGCTGGGTGCATGTGCATGTGTGCCCAGGATCCGAGAAATGAATGGGAGGGGATTGCAGTGTGTCCGTCCCCGCTGGGGGGGGGGATGTGATTTCTCACTTTCTGTCTCTCTGTCCCCCTTTGTCTTTATGGTCAGCGCACATGCCCTATAGCAAAAACCTCTCCAAAAAAAAGAAACCACAAGAAATGATCCAGACAGGGATGATGGAAAAGTGATAGCACAGTAGCAAGGGCAGTTTCAATGGCCCTCTCACTGTTGCTCGTACACTCACTAATGCAGATGCTGCATAATAAAACTATCCATAGTGATAACACTAATAATGACTATGTTAACTATTTACTGTTGGACAGTCACAAGACAGACACTCTAATGGCCCTTTTATGTATTATAACTTCAATAAAATAACCAGCAATGGCAGTTCTTAGGATCCCTTTTTTGTAGATTTTATAACTCAGACACAGGTAAAATGACCTGCTCTTGGCCAGCAGCCAGTAGAGACATGATTAGGCCTCAGATGTGCCCATTACCAAAGGCCATGGGCTTTCCACCTCTCTGCCACTACCCTGCAGATAACTTTGGAAAAGGACCATATTTTGCAATGCGAAAAGACACTGCACACTGCACTTAACGTGTTGAGAAAAAAAAATGGATGTCAAATGGGAAAACAGTTACCACCTAACTGGCCTTTGTCCCCCTATATATCTTTTTTTTTTAACCTTCTACTTTTCTAAATAGTTTTTACCATATGCCACAAGCCACACATTATTCCGTTCCGATAAGAGGGCCAATAACAAACCCCAACCACACAGTAAACATTTAGCTTCCAACGTTTGACCTGAGTTAAGTGATCTGTCCTGAAGACCTCTGCCTGATGGTGCCTGTGGGATCTCGCCGCCGCGCGGCCCTCTGGCCACAAGTTGCCTCAATGACGAGCACACGTTTGTGTACTGCTGAGTATGCGGCTTGGCCCAGCCCAGGCTGTGGCTGGGGAGGGACGTTAAGCCAGTGGTGGGTGCCACTTTGAAGTGTTGGTGTCAATTTGAAAAATAAATACAATTTCATGATTTGTGGCTTCAACATCAGGATCTTCGATTTATTTAAAATAACCTTCATGTTTATGGGTGTTGTATTTAATTTCTCTAATGGCTCAAGCTTATATAACTGTGGTCTTTGTTTTCAATTCTCTTGCACATTCTAAGGAGAAATTAGAAACCTGACTGAATCATTCTTTAAAGTCTCTTTAAATGTGGGAATCTATGTATCCTTGAAGACCTTTTCATTAGATATTAGTTTTTATATCTGACAAAATATGTATCATAATACTGCTATCAAGCTATAAATCTAGTATGTATATGGCATATCGTAAGTATATATTTCACATCTGCTGAATGTTTAGCATGAACAAATCATTAAGCTTGTGAACCATTTTCCCTATCAGAGAAATGTAGACCCAGTTTAGAGTATTATGCCTCTTTCACTTGATCTTTCTCATTTTTTTTAAACCTAAACTCTCAGATTTATAACTTTCTCCAGTGGGATCCCAACAATAGGGAGATACAGGTTGAGAACAGAAATTTCAATTAAAAGTCGGCTCTACCTGTTAGCATAGTCAGTATCAAAATGAACTGCAGGGCTGGAAGCCCCATGGCCAGCCATGGGGACAGATCCCTGGCTTTGCCTGAAAACACGCTGGATGCGTGCCTGTGTATCTCGGATCTTGATGAGCAGGAATAGCAATAAAATACCGTGCTTTGCAAGGCTGACCCACATGGAAAGATTTGAGTTAATACTTCACTGAACATACTGGGTATCTGTGTGCTGATGAGTGAGGGCTGGCTAAAGCTAGGTGTATTATACCATTCAAGACCCAGTTGGAGGTGCTGTCTGTCTCTGTCTCTCCTTATCTTGTTTCTCTTAGTCATGGAAAAAAAATAATAATAAACTATAAAAATGTTAATCATCACTTTGAACAGCGTGATTAGTTGGAAATGGTTCTATTATACTTAGATTTTAATACAAGTCTCCTTTCAAATGCTTCATTTTGGACACCCTGGTCTAGTACATCTGTTGCTGCTTGGCCATTGCTGATGTTCCCTATGACATAGAACTTCCTCTTCATGGCGTTACTGCTGGAGTTCACAACTGTTAATATCTTTAGATTGTGAATAACTTCAGGACAGGGACTATATCCAAATAATTTTTTCTGCCCTGTTGATGGATGCCAGGTCCAATAGATAGAAAGTACTCAACTCATTATATTGAATACTTCTCCCAGCTGCAATTTATGAACAATTTCTCATTACAGAGCACAACATGAAAAAAGACATAAAATGGGTGAGGGAGTAAAGGGGTCTATAGGAGAAGACAGTGAAAGGAAACCACAGGCACCTACACTGGAACCCCTGATACTTCTTTTTATTACACTTTGTCTGCAGTGTATAACCTAACTTTTGGGGACCTGGGGCAAGAAAGAGGTTACCCTTTTTTATAAATACTTTTCCTGGGCCAAGCAGTGGCACGGTGGTTAAAGCAGCTGGATCCCACATGACTGACCATGTGGCTTGAGTCCTGGACCAGAGTGCTTGGAAAACATGTCGGGCACATGTGCATGTATACCCCAAAGCCTGAGAAGAGGAGAAATGGAAGAGGAGGGATTGCAGTGACTATGCCCCATGGGAAGAGGAGAAATGGAAGAGGAGGGATTGCAGAGTGACTATGCCCCATGGGCTACTGACTTACTTTCCCTCTCTCTCTCTCACTCTGTCTCTCTTCAGTAAGTGCAAGTGCCTTCTGGAAAGGATGTTTTGTTAAAGTGCTTTTCCTTAGGAAATAGTTCATTTTTCCTGTCAGAAAGATTATATTGAAATCTAAGACACCAGAAGGGATTTTCTTCTATTACACAGACTGATGGTTCTCAAACTTGTCTTGATGAGATGTTACTCTTATTCTGGCAATGTCTTATAATGACTCTGGGATTAGGGAAGAAA